AATATTTACAGAGAACGATCATCAGTCTTCAGCTAGTATTGATTTTATCAAGGACTGATGGACTAAGGTATTGCCTATAATGTATTATCAGGAATTCAAGAGTAATGTAAATAGAAGTATTACATGGTCAGATATAATTATGATAATCTTATTGTCAATAACATTCAATGTTTTATAAATTAGCAAAATACATTTATTAAAGGGACAAGTGCGCCATTTTTGCGGGTTGATTAGAGTGTTGAATATATGTAAATAATCTTCAGAAATACTAGAAATTTAAGGAAATCTCAAATTCCTTTAAAAATACTTCAAACTAGGAAATTTACTCACTATTTCTATATATCACAGAGTATCTTAAAATGACGAGTCGTCATTTTGACATTCAAATGCGAATAATTCTAGACACACATTGATTTAAAGGCTTAAATTTCGACGGAAAACTATGAACACTATTACTGATTGGCTAAGCTAATTAATTCCCGTTTCTGAGACTAAGGTATGATAGGTAAAAAAAAATGGCACATCTATCCATTTTTAACTGCAATATGCAAAATCCAATTGTTTAGATGGGACAAAATAGTGCTATGCTCTCTAGACTCAGCATGTATAAGTTATCTCTTGAAAACTTAATTTGAGTCCTGACTATTTTAACAGTGAACAAATTTTATTACTGAAATAACATTTTTACAGAAAACTACGATTTTTTCGTAATATAAAACAGTTTTTTTTATTTGAAATGATTATAATTCAGGTTCTACCATAATCCCTTAATTCTTTCTAAATACAGATTTTATAGATTTAGATTAAAATCAGGAAGGGAAATCAATATTTTCTTCCTCGTTGGTGAAGAGTTCTTGTCGTATATCACGTTACTAGCATTTCGGCTACGGTATTCCTTTAAATATTTCATTGAAATAAATTACACTGCATACATCTTCAGAACTCTACATGTGTATAAAATAATTAGATTTTTACATAATATCATTTAGTTTCCTGTAAGAGAATGTTCAAATGGCATGTCATAGTATATAAAACTGCATTTAAACAAAATACGTGTAGACTGATAAAATGATCAGTATAAAATTATTGCGAAAAATAAATGAAGATGTAATAGGTTACCAAGAAATAAATGAAAATGAACTTTGACATCCTACTGCTCTGCACCTAATAAACCAAGGAAAAAGGCTTGTTTGTTATTGAAATATATACGTGTAGTGCACGTTACAGAGTCATCATTAAATTTAACATTTGACAGACATTGAATGCCATCTAATAGCTAACCTATTTTTGATATCCCATAGAGGATATTGACGGTTGGTCACTTGAGCTGCTCTGTCCGGCAAATAGAGCCAAATCAACAGTCCTGATGTAGACCAAATGAAAATATGAATACTAGGTATATTTACTACTGTTCCTATAATTTATATGAATTATTATAAGATCTAACAAGATATCTATGTATAAATGATGCTATCTTATTGTTTGTTTTATATCACATAGCCATTAAAACTGGTGTAGGCGTTAATCTTACAGACTTTTTGATTACAGTATTAATCAATATTGAGTTCAGGTAATGAGTATAACTGATGTCATTGATTATTTTCTAACAAGACTTTAAAAATTACATTTATATACCACATCACCATACTATTCTTTATTCAAACTATCAGTAGAGTTTACATGTACTCATTCCCCAGTTATTCATAGGCATTTTCTTGTTATTGGCTAGACTTAAAGGCCATGGTTTGCCATTTTCTAGAGTTGATTTGGGTCTTGAATGATATATCTATATATTAATTGTCGGCTGAAGTACTGGAACTGCAAGAAAATTTGCATAATCCTTTCAAATATTACCTCAAACTAGAAATTTTACTTTCTATTTCTATGTCTTTTCTATATATGGCAGTGTCACAAAGAAAGATGAGTCATTATTTTAACTTTCAAATGCCAATAATTCTGGACATACATGGATTTGAAGGCTCAAATTTCTATGGCGAGCTGTGAACACTATTCTGAACCTAAGGCATGATTGGTCAAATGCATGATGTATCTGTTCCTTCAACTGCTGTTGTATGCTAAATATTAAAGGACACCTATTCCTGCTGGATGCTTGTGGTTCTTTCACGAACATAAGATGACCACTTTTGCAAAAAAGATTTAATCCAGATTTTGGGGACATTGACATCATCTTTTGTGGAATAATAGAAACCAGAGATGTTACAGCATAATGCAAAATGACCTAGAATTGTCCCTGAAAACAAAGTTTTTAAACATAACAAACAGTCCTATTGTTTGTGAGATTGATTGAGTGATGAAGGTAGAAATATTTTGTTTGATGTAATTTATTAATTGAGGTTGAGATGAAAACAAACATGACATTAATCCTTCAATCTACAGACAATAAACTGTCTCTATTTACTAACTGTTGTGATTGATGAACCTGTATGAAGAGGTAATTGGTATAAGTGGTACATTCTCTGGAGAGAATTTGGCATCCAGCTAGAGCTACATGCTCACAATTTGAACGGTGCACCTTTCTCGTAGGACTAGTTTCAGTTGAACAGCTGTATCACATGACAAGTCAAAATGGCAGACTATTACAGTGAGAGTTCAAGAGATGATATAAGGCAGGGAAGGGGGAGCAATACAGTTGTTATTGCTGTAATCAGGAAATACCAATAACACATGCACATTGTATCTGTTGCCTGAGAAATTGACATCTGGTACCTGCACACTATTATGGCTAGAACCATTAAACTTGATAGATATTTTTGACACAACCACAAGTGGCAAAATGTGTCGACAAGGTGCTGCCAGTGCTGTGCCATTTCCTTTCTGAATGCAGGTGATTAATACTGCTCTAGATGCTCATCAAATGTTACCCAGTCAAAATCGTGGACTAAGGTAAAGTTGCATATTGGACATATTATTTACTAAGATCAGCGTATGTTACATAATCTGTATTTTGAGGACAATCTGTAAGTGCATTGGAATCTACTCATGACATCATTTGCTTGGTTTTAACGAACAGATGGTAATCATGAGTTTTATAATTAAGGTTTGTGTGTGAAGTCTAGTGACCTGGAATAAGTCAAATGGGTAGTCCATGAACGATCAATGCATGGGCTTAGCCAAGGACCAGCTGGTAGAAAGGATCCCTGTGAACCTAAAGGTGCGGGCACATGATCTTGGTCAGAGACTTTTGTCGTTGATTAGAGTCTTGTCTTGACTGACTGGGGCACACAAGGAGACAAAAAACTCAAGTGGGTCGTTTTCTATTATCACATGTGGAGCATGCAATTAAAAGGATTGGATGATGACGATAAAACTATCAGAGACAATTATCAAACTTACTTGATATTATGAATTCTGTCAGTGACACGATAATCTTGTCGTGGAAGCCAGGCACAAGCAAGATTTTACTCAAGATTCGAGTCAAGACTAAAATCTCTGACCAAGACCACTCTTGTGCTCGCTCCTCAAGTTGTTGTTCTGGTTTAAAACTGTTCTTTCTTTTTTTTCTTTGATTCAAGGAAGATAATTTTTTTGTTATTATGGATTTCTAACCTACATTTGAAGTAAATGGACATTTAATGTGAAATAGATAGTTTTAAATGTCAGACAGACTGAAATTGTGGCAAGAAGTATGTACTTATACAGTGAAATATCATCCATTTAAACCTGTATAAGTTAATAAGATAGTTAATTGTTAATGATACAGGGTTAATTAATGATAGAATGTTTTTTATCTGTAATTAAACAACATCATTTTGACAGGCCATTTTTTGTTGTTGATTGCAAGTCAGGTCATTCTTCTTTCTTGTACTACTGCGTCTGATTTCTCATCGCTTTGATATTTTCATAAAATAAAAAAGCTATAAATTTAAGAGAAACAGGAGCCTGTTTCAACCAGTTGGGGCGCCAGCCTGCAGGAACTGAGGGTACAAATAGAGTGCAGTATGACATAATTAAGGACCGAATGTTGGCGATGAGATTCAAATACTGTGGAATGGCCATAGGCTCAAGGCTGTATCTCCTCTGGTGCCACCACTGATAGCGTTGCCATGTAATTGGCGATTGATTTTGTTTTTAAAGAGTCCACATAGCTTAAAATATTGATTTCAACTAATGAACAGTGTTGATTACAGATTACATGTATGCTCATTAAGATCACGAGTAATGATGAAATGTGAGATATTTGAAGGAAGAGATTGAAGTTAATGATGACAATATCGTCTAGCCTAATCAATTATATATACATGTTTGTATTTATATTGGTCAAACGTATAGGCCTATTTTATATAGGGTATTTATTTGCTTTTAATCATGTTGATATACTGTCTGAAAATAAGTCTGCTCTTGATGACTGTTATTTAATTCATCTTGCCAATTTATAAACAAGAGCATGTTTGATAATTTACAATGTGGTGTGAATATAAACTTTAATTTATAATCCATTGTGCATGGGTAATGGATTGTTTCCCCGTTTCTAAGCTAGTTTTTTTCTCAAACATGAAGAATGATATTATGTGACTTTTGTAGTGTAAGTAGGGATAGACATATGTTGTACAGCATAAATTGCCTTGCCCACAGAATATTTGAAAAATTACCCTTGTCATTTCCTCATAAGATACGATAAAATTATCAGATAATAGTTACTAATTAGAGAGAATACTGTAAATGATTATCACAAAGTAAGAAACTGTTAAGCTGGGAATGGACTAGGTATAGTGTAGAGTGTAGTATTATTGATATAGTAGAAAACAGTGGAAGCGAATCATGTCATACCCTGTCTGGACTTGTACCTTTTGTTTTCACTCTTTCAATTTTCAACTGAATCAATAATCCCTGACCATACCTCATCTATTTTCACCTTAACAACACGTTTCCTATCCATTAATATTGTTATATTAATGGAAAAATAATGCTATTTTTGTATAAGCTTATTTATTGTTTAAAATGTTCTATTTTGAATAATTTCAGGCTGTTTACCAAGAGAGTTACGTCCCTTTCTGACATCACGATTTCAGAAAGGTTCTGTAGATCATGACCTTCAACAAACAATACGAGATAATTTATACATGAGAACAGTACCCTGTAAGGTTATATTTAATGTTATTACATTATTCCACTTATAAATCAGATGTCTGTGCCTCCTGTAATTATAGAAATGCTATTACCTGAATTCACAATAGCTGCTTTTGATTTCTGTTGGCCTTTGTTTGCTAAGCGATAGCTTTTTCATAAAATTTTTCAAGTTCAACAGAGGTTTGACTGCAAACTTTCCTTAAACCTTTAAGGGATTGTAAAGAGGTTTTTATGTGCTATAGGGACAGCATCATTTTTAGAAAACCTTCCTCGAGCCTCTTTACCTCTTTACAATCCCTTGTTCTATTAATCTTGCTGCTGGATTTTTCCTTGTTTTTGCCCTTTAGAAAGATATTCAAAATTAATTTTCTTATTTCATGAAATGTTAATGAAGATGTCATTTGTAATTTCAGGTACAACTCGTCCACCAAGACCAGGAGAGAAAAATGGAGAAGATTATACATTTCTATCATTAGAAGAGTTTTATGAATTAGAAAAGTCAGGAGATTTGTTAGAGAGTGGAATATTTGATGGTATGTAGGCTACCACTATTGATCATTAATAGACTTTAACTTAACTTCTACCATATTGATTCAACCATTATTAATTAAGCATTAACCATTAAGCTCTACCCTGAGCTTGTACATTATTTACTCTTGAAATGACCTTTACCATTATCCTTTTGCATTTTGTTGACCATTACCATTTAACCTTAAAATACAAGACCATTACCATTTAACCTTAAAATACAAGACCATTACCATCTAAAATCAAAATACAAGACCATTACCATTTAACCTTAAAATACAAGACCATTACCATCTAAAATCAAAATACAAGACCATTACCATTTAACCTTAAAATACAAGACCATTACCATTTAACCTTAAAATACAAGACCATTACCATTTAACCTTAAAATACAAGACCATTACCATCTAAAATCAAAATACAAGACCATTACCATTTAACCTTAAAATACAAGACCATTACCATCTAAAATCAAAATACAAGACCATTACCATTTAACCTTAAAATACAAGACCATTACCATTTAACCTTAAAATACAAGACCATTACCATCTAAAATCAAAATACAAGACCATTACCATTTAACCTTAAAATACAAGACCATTACCATTTAACCTTAAAATACAAGACCATTACCATCTAAAATCAAAATACAAGACCATTACCATTTAACCTTAAAATACAAGACCATTAGCATTTAACCTTAAAATAAAAGACCATTACCATTTAACCTTAAAATACAAGACCATTACCATTTAACCTTAAAATACAAGACCATTAGCATTTAACCTTAAAATAAAAGACCATTACCATTTAACCTCAAAATACAAGACCATTACCATTTAACCTTAAAATACAAGACCATTAGCATTTAACCTTAAAATACAAGACCATTACCATTTAACCTTAAAATTTATGGGTCCTTCACCATTGACATGAGCCCTGGGCTTGGTCTTGAAATGAACCTTTAGACCTGATCATTGACTTGATCGACTTGATCTTACCATTGACTTGATCTTACCATTGACTTTACCTTACCATTGACTTGATCTTACCATTGACTTGATCTTACCATTGACTTGATCTTACCATTGACTTTACCATACCTTTGAATAGATATTGTTACTATTTTCTTGAACTTGACCTGAGGTTACCTTTGACTTGATCTTACCATTGACTAGACCTTACCATTAACTTGATCTTCCCATTGACTTGACCATTGACCAGACCCTATCTTTGACTTGATCTTGCCATCGACTTGATCTTAACATTGACTTCATCTAACAATTGACTCACTCTTACAATTAATCAATCTTAGCCTCTAACATGCTGTTACCCGGGACTTAATCTTACCATTGATTTGATCTTACCATTGTCTTACCATTGATTCAATCTTTTCCTTGTCTCAATCACCATTGACTCACTTTTACCATTGACCATGTACCATGAAATATTAGGATCAAGATATTTCTAACATTAGGTTTTATGTGAAAATGATCTGGGTTTCTGTGGCTGGTAGTGGTACTGTTGACATGCTATCCTATACAGTGTTTTTCATCTGCAACTGATCAAGGAAATTAAAAGCTTTTTGTTTTCTTAAATAATAATGTAGATTTTAACTATGTAACTAACTTTTAAATATATCAACACCACCAAATATTATAACATCATTAAATATTCAGTTATATTTATTCAGTATGAGAACAATATCAAATTTGACATTTGATAATAAAAATCTAGAATGATATTATATAGTATTAGGTTTCATGTTAATTATTTCTCACTGATCTCTAGCATGACATGCTTGTAAAGAAAGAACAAACTGTGCCTGATACATGCAATGTAATTAAACTTAGATTACAAGTTTGTTTCTTTTTTGTTTTCTGATACATTCATCTCCATTGTAATCTGACAAGATTTTTACTACAGCCTCTGATAATTTGATGTTTAACCAATCAGAGTGTTATGTAGGACTTTTTTTTTGATAACATAATAATTTTGGGATAGCAGAACCCAAAACAGCTGTCATATTGCTCTAATTTGATTTTCACTTTCTCTATCCCACAATTCATTATGTTATCACGCAGCAGGTTCTTGACAAAGTTTGATTGGTTAAAAATACCATGATTCGACAAAGGAGACGTAAATTTTACGAAACAAAAAAGAAAAGAAATCATAATTTAATTCTAATTAAATTTGGTACTCTTATAAGGCTATATTAGCCATCATATTTGTTGATTCATAGATGTTTTGTTCATTTAACGTACATTTTGCCTCTTCAGGTAATCATTATGGAACACCTCGCCCACCAAAAGAACCATCAACACCATTAAATCGCCATTCTAGTTCTGGTGCTCTCAACATGGCAGATACTAAACGAAAACGCAACAACAGCAGTTCTGAAGCTGTCCAATCAAATGATATTGCAGATGAATTACCTCCCTTTCCAATGACACGGAAGAAATCATTAGAGAGAGCTCATAGTTCATCTAATCTAGGACCTCTTCCTGATAATTGGGAAATGGCTTTTACTGATGAGGGACAACCTTATTTTATTGAGTAAGTTAGATTTTGTTTATGAGAGCCTTTCATGTAAATGTTGGTGTGATGTTATTTGGTGTAAAATATTTAATTGCAAGAGTTATTTTGCCCTTTACAATGTACCTTTAAAACTTACGAGGAAGCAGATACATTGTGAAGTACAAAAACAGCAACAGCATTTTGTCAGATTGCTTTAAAAGCAGTTTCCAATTTTATGTTGATTTTAATGATTTCACTTCAGAGAATATCTTGGTAATTATTTTCGGCCAAGAATTGCATTTTTCATGTACAGCTCATATGATATATTCCTTTGATATTAAATTGAAAATGACCAACAAATGAATATGGTCGATAGCAAATAGTATTCCATAAATAATCTTTTTACAGTCATGATACAGAAACAACACATTGGTTGGATCCCAGATTAGCTAAAGTAAAAGATGGAACTCCTGATGGTAAGTGAATTTTATCACACAGCAATTCCATTTCTGAGTCCAGTTCTACATATACAAATTACACGATATAGGATGATAGCTTAGTTAGTTTGAAATCACGATATTATTCTGAATAATTGGCTCAAATTTCTTATTTCAATTTGAATTTGCATGAAGAAATGAATTTGTGATGATTTTACTCAGAAATGTAATTGAAATTCTTTATGAAGCATGAATTACTTCAAATATCACATTTACACATAAAACATATACCAGATTTCATGCATAATACAAAATGCAGGCTACAATACAACATTTTACAATATTACAGACCACAAACAGGTATAGACTACTGATTGGATTTGTCTCCCTTATTTTATTCACACAATAAATGCATAATATATCCATCAATATTCAACCTTTAACATTCAATCAGAGTTACATACATACTCACTCAATTAGAAGTTGAAAATAATCACATCACCATACAAACTACAATCTGTAGTAATAATTGGTTGAAAAATGGAGTAGTCTCCCTTGTAACATGCAAAAAATATAATGGCAACAGACAACAAACAATTAATAAATGCAGGTTAATAAATAGATTACTCTCTCTTGATCAGATAACTAAATACTTGTTTGATGAATACTTACTGATTGCAGGGTGCAGAATTTAAATAATCTAAGATTTAAAATATCTAAAGGCATTTTATAGCTATTTTAGAGCTGATAAAAACTTGCAGGATCTTAGTATTGAAGCCATATCTAAAATATCACCAGAGTACTTTCTGAACTAATGACTAATACTAATTAATTAAATAGACTTGTGATGAGGGGTTGATTTATTAGTCATATGATTTATTATGAATTAGCATGTCAATTTGTATAAGATGACTTCTGGTTTGATTGTTCTGTTAGGAAGTTTGATTGATAACCTTCTAGTGTAAATAGTTTTCTGCTGATGTTTTACTAATAATACTGCACTTACTACATTATGATCAATGAGTAAGACGTCTGCTTGCTAACCAGGTTCAAGGTTCAATCCTGACATAGGTAGATAATACCACTATTTTTCAACTCTAGTTTCCCGTCAGTGATGCTGATGTGGAAAAAGAGTTTTGCCGTTTGAATGGGGAAATAATCTTAGGCCTTACAGACCGTGCATGTTCAAGATCTCTCGACAGTTGGAAAATCGAAAAGGTTCATGCTTGGCAAAATTTCCCTCATGGCATTGTCAATACATCAGGTGCAGAAAAGTATTGTGTATAACATTTCATTTCATAATTTCTCTATACATTATAAAATACAAAATACTCTGAATACTGTATCTTTGAATATTGGCCCACTTTTACCTAATAATGTGCCTAATTTGACTCAATTTATACCACAACTTTTACAAACTAATATTGCAAATGAAGCTTATTAGTTTTCATATCATTTGGTGCATTTGAATCAGTAGACAACCCTGAGAATGGAATTTTGTTGTGCACTCAATTTAGAATTCTGAGTGTGACATTATCATGAATTGGGAATGAAAATCTTATTTCCTTTCAATATGAGGTGCTTAATCTGCTGAATATTTCTTAATATTTTGGGTTGTGTCTGTCACCACTCGGCTATCTACAAATTTCTTTTCCATCTTTTTATTTATTTTTTTCTTTAGACTTGTAATTTTTATCTCCTTTTTCTAAGAATCTGTCATCTTCATTTGTAACCCACCCCCCATGATGAGGAAATTATCTTATGTAAAAATGGAATTGAATTTCTGATAAAATAGTAAAGCCTGGAATATCATTAAGATATTTTGTTGTTCTATAAGAATATTAATACATGTCATACACCTAAACACATCTACTCTCTTATGTCAGGCATTAAATATCTTCAATTTTGTGGGGTTTTTTTCTTTGCCTCTATATACAAGGTTTATATGATACTGATAGATAATCTTACTCTTATATTATGTCAGATGACTGATATTTTGACAATAGAGTAAAAACCATGAGCCTTATTCTACAAAACTTAACTTAAGATGATTAGTTTTCCAGTCATCTTATTGGTCAATATCAAAATCTATTTTAAATTGATTGAATAGGATAAAAGTATTTCTTAAAGGAACAGTTGTGCCATATTGGGGGTTGATTTGAGTCTTATTTATTTAGGCTTCAAGTACTAGAAATGTAGAAAATCGCATTATTCCTTCAAATATATCTCAAACTTACTATTTCTATAGATGTCTTTTCTATATATTGCATATATGTCTCAAGAAAGGTCAATTTTAACTTTCAAATGTAGATAATTCTGGACACACATGGATTTGGAGGCTCAAATTTTGAAAGTGAGCTTTGAATATTATTACAGATTGGTTTAGCTAAAAAAATTCCTGTTTCTGAGAAAAAGGTACGATGGGTAAAAAAAATGACTTATGTCTTCAAGTTTTTGAGATTAAGCCCCATGTTTAGCAACCTACCTACTATCTTTTTTTCATAGTTTTTGTCTCCATTGTAATTTAACCATTTTTTTTTTACCATGGGACTAAATCTAAAAAACTTATGTGGATTTGAAGAAATTGTAATCTAACTTTAATGAGTTTTATAAAAGTTGTAGAAGATTTATGTTTCCCCATGTTATACTGGGACCACCCATTGATCTAGCTAGAATAAAACAACTATTAAACTTCAATTTACACCTGATATGTTTAAAACATTTCACTTTTACAGCTTGATAGTTGATACACTTATCAGACTCCTGTATAAATTAATACACCTTCATTATTTGAGAGTAAACAAGGCTGATATAGGCAATAAGAGGTTAAATGTACAGGTTATTTATATTGTTTATATAAGTTATTAAAATGTATATCACATGTAAATGTAAATACAGGATTAATATGAACCACTGAATATTCAAATATTGAAACACAATAGAACATAAATCTTATGAAGAAATTGTCGTAAGTGTAGAAATTTACATTGAGAATACCAATGGACAAAATTGATCATAAGCTTTTTGTTGAACGGAGCCAAGGGCTGTAGATATGGCTCTACCGGACCAGTCTGGCATGATAGCTCAAATGTCTGTAATATGCAGCTCTCTGTGGAAGGCTAGTATATGTTGGAATAAGAGTGTCATCATGTGTATTAAAATGCAAACATTGATAACAGTTGACTGTACAAGAACGGAGGGCTAAATGTCTGAGAATCTCAAGCCTTTGTCGGTCAAAGGCTAGTATAGGTTGGATAAAAAATGCCATTCAGTGTGAGACAAAAAGAGTAATTGCACGAGAGCTGGTCATTTGTGGATAGTTTTATTTTTCATTTAAAATGTAAGTGCAGTTTTGCAGAAGATGAATTTAACAAAGAGGTCATAATGAGTCATAGTTCTCTCTTGTCTATTAAAATGACCCAAAGCTAATGACATTGTCCATTATGAAGAAAATAGCCAGTTAACAAGAGCCTCTCAGAGGAGAGTAAAAAATAAAAAGTCAATATTGACTAAGTGAGTGGTCAATATAAGGGTGTTGATGTCCACAAATGTCCGCTGTCCAAACTTGATTAACAATTATCTTCAAATTGATCAGTTAAGATTTTTGTAGTCTTTTGAGATTCATTATAATGGAATTTTGGACAAAGAGTTCAGCTTTCTTCAAAATGAACTTTGAAAATAATGATAATGTAAATGATTGAAATCCCTGTCACAGTACATTTCTGCTTTTGGTTCTCTATTTTTGGCTTATTATTTACAGATGCAAATGTTATGCAGTGTTTGGTGTTTAATTATGGCCATTGTTTACCAGTACTAACTACTGTGTCCAGATTGTCACATTGTATTATAGTCACAGTAAATGCATAAATGAATGTAAGAATTATCTCCAAATAACTCTAATCTATCTACTATATTATTCAGGTTACAATATTACAATCAAAAGACAAACCTGTGGATTTAGGAAAGAGTTCACCTCAAAATACACAGCAATATTCTGAATAATTCAAGGTAGATTCTGCTTTACAAAAACTGATATTAGTTGAATGTAACAGATGCCGAAATCTTGTTTTATAAAGGTGTCAAACTGTGAATCTGTAGGAAAGGTGCAAGAGTATGTGAAGTGTGTCTCTTTATCTTCTGGCACGTGTACAGTCATTTCACATTTCAATATCCACCAATACAAATCCTTTAATAAATCTCAGGGTATATTGTTATTCAAATGCTTTATATTGAGTTCTGTATCGTAAACATTGAGAGCCTTTATTACATTGTATAGGATTTGAATTCCTATTAACATCTTAGCTACCCATCAATAATGTGACATATGGTCCAACTTAAAGTCACCTGCTCTGCATAAAATCTTTGAAGGAATTGTAATGAATATATAGTCACTGCAAGATTAACAAATTTTAAGATTATCTTAAAGGACCATATCTTAAAACATAATAGTGACTGAAAATAATGTAATAAATGATATTATTTCAAAAAGGCAACTCCAATCCAGGAAAATATGTTTTCAAGAATTTTTGTGAGAAGAAAATCTAATAAATCAATGAAAAATTTGGATCTTATAATTGCAGACATATTACTTTAATATTGCAATGTTTCTGAAAACAAGGGCTGGATCATTGATGATGATATTGCACTGCTAGCAGAAGTACAGATATTTCTATATTTTATGCACATTTGAACTTTAAGCAGTCTAATGAAAATTAAACCGAACTTTAGTCTTTAGACCCAAACTGAAGAGGCTATATTAAAAAAAGAAGGTCATAAAAAACAGAACAAAAGTTTGATCTAATTTAATTAGACTGAACTCTAAGTAATAAAAGAAAAGGTGTTTCTAAGGAAATGCTTGAATACTTCTGTTAATGAATTGCATTAATAATTCAACTGCTGTGTGGATTTGACATATCACTTGTTGTAGTCATGATATTCATTATAGAGAAATACATTGAAATACTGAAAACTTTCATCTCAAGTTAATTGACAACTTGTGTATTTAATTTATATTATCTCATCACTTTAAAGAAATGAAT